ATAGACTAGACTATAGACTAGACTATAGACTAGACTATAGACTAGACTATAGACTAGACTATAGACTAGACTATAGACTAGACTATAGACTAGACTATAGACTAGACTATAGACTAGACTATAGACTAGACTATAGACTAGACTATAGACTAGACTATAGACTAGACTATAGACTAGACTATAGACTAGACTATAGACTAGACTATAGACTAGACTATAGACTAGACTATAGACTAGACTATAGACTAGACTATAGACTAGACTATAGACTAGACTATAGACTAGACTATAGACTAGACTATAGACTAGACTATAGACTAGACTATAGACTAGACTATAGACTAGACTATAGACTAGACTATAGACTAGACTATAGACTAGACTATAGACTAGACTATAGACTAGACTATAGACTAGACTAGACTAGACTATAGACTAGACTATAGACTAGACTATAGACTAGACTATAGACTAGACTATAGACTAGACTATAGACTAGACTATAGACTAGACTATAGACTAGACTATAGACTAGACTATAGACTAGACTATAGACTAGACTATAGACTAGACTATAGACTAGACTATAGACTAGACTATAGACTAGACTATAGACTAGACTATAGACTAGACTATAGACTAGACTATAGACTAGACTATAGACTATATACTAGACTAGACTATACTAGTCTAGACTATAGACTATAGACTATAGACTAGACTATAGACTAGACTATAGACTAGACTATAGACTAGACTATAGACTAGACTATAGACTAGACTATAGACTAGACTATAGACTAGACTATAGACTAGACTATAGACTAGACTATAGACTAGACTATAGACTAGACTATAGACTAGACTATAGACTAGACTATAGACTAGACTATAGACTAGACTATAGACTAGACTATAGACTAGACTATAGACTAGACTATAGACTAGACTATAGCCTAGACTATAGACTAGACTATAGCTAGACTATAGACTAGACTATAGACTAGACTATAGACTAGACTATAGACTAGACTATAGACTAGACTATAGACTAGACTATAGACTAGACTATAGACTAGACTATAGACTAGACTATAGACTAGACTATAGACTAGACTATAGACTAGACTATAGACTAGACTATAGACTAGACTAGACTATAGACTAGACTATAGACTAGACTATAGACTAGACTATAGACTAGACTATAGACTAGACTATAGACTAGACTATAGACTAGACTATAGACTAGACTATAGACTAGACTATAGACTAGACTATAGACTACACTATTGACTAGACTATAGACTAGACTATAGACTAGACTATAGACTAGACTATAGACTAGACTATAGACTAGACTATAGACTAGACTATAGACTAGACTATAGACTAGACTATAGACTAGACTATAGACTAGACTATAGACTAGACTATAGACTAGACTATAGACTAGACTATAGACTAGACTATAGACTAGACTATAGACTAGACTATAGACTAGACTATAGACTAGACTATAGACTAGACTATAGACTAGACTATAGACTAGACTATAGACTACTATTGACTAGACTATAGACTAGACTATAGACTAGACTATAGACTAGACTATAGACTAGACTATAGACTAGACTATAGACTAGACTATAGACTAGACTATAGACTAGACTATAGACTAGACTATAGACTAGACTATAGACTAGACTATAGACTATACTATAGACTAGACTATAGACTAGACTATAGACTAGACTATAGACTAGACTATAGACTAGACTATAGACTAGACTATAGACTAGAGACTAGACTATAGACTAGACTATAGACTAGACTATAGACTAGACTATAGCCTAGACTATAGACTAGACTAAGACTAGACTATAGACTAGACTATAGACTAGACTATAGACTAGACTATAGACTAGACTATAGATTAGACTATAGACTAGACTATAGACTAGACTATAGACTAGACTATAGACTAGACTATAGACTAGACTATAGACTAGACTATAGACTAGACTATAGACTAGACTATAGACTAGACTATAGACTAGACTATAGACTAGACTATAGACTAGACTAGACTAGACTATAGACTAGACTATAGACTAGACTATAGACTAGACTATAGACTAGACTATAGACTAGACTATAGACTAGACTATATAGACTAGACTATAGACTAGACTATAGACTAGACTATAGACTACACTATAGACTACACTATTGACTAGACTATAGACTAGACTATAGACTAGACTATAGACTAGACTATAGACTAGACTATAGACTAGACTATAGACTAGACTATAGACTAGACTATAGACTAGACTATAGACTAGACTATAGACTAGACTATAGACTAGACTATAGACTAGACTATAGACTAGACTATAGACTACACTATTGACTAGACTATAGACTACACTATTGACTAGACTATAGACTACACTATTGACTAGACTATAGACTAACTATAAACTAGACTATAGACTGGACTACAAACTAGACTATAGATTAGACTATAGACTGGACAAAGACTGGAATGTAGGCTGGACTATAGACTATAGTCTGGACTATAGACTGTACTATAGACTGGACTATAGACTGGACTATAGTTTGGACTAAAGACTAGACTATAGTCTGGGCTATGGACTGGACTGTAGTCTGAACTATAGACTGGACTATAGGTTGGACTATAGTCTGTAGTTTAGACTATAATTTAGACCATAAATTTAGAATATACTTTAAACTATAGTTTAGGACAGTTTAGACCATAGTATAGACTTTAGTTTAGGCTATAGTATAGACTTCAACTAAAAACTAAACTTTAGAAATACAATTTTCGTCAAGTTTCATTTTAGAACAAATATTGATTTTATTTTACCACTTTCATTACATTCATCTCTACAAAATAAATGATGTTCTCATAAATTTCCTATATTTACTTTTGCCTGTTGTCTCTGCTGTTTTAGAGATTTGTTTATTGTTTCCTTTTCATTCTGCTGCCAAGTTCATTGCCACCTACCCCATCACTATCAACATCATCAGATGTTGCCCTACAGGGAGGATGGTCTATAACACAAAAAAATCACGTGATTTTCGTTTAATACACTCTAGCAGTCAATTGAACTTCCGGATGTGTTTTGTATAAATAAAAAGCATCCCTTAACCTTTGAAAGAGTATTGTTATGAAAGAGCAGGTTTATTGCCGCTCTTATTTAAGTTAATGATATGTAAAGTAATTTTCTTTACTTTTAGGGCAAAATGCCAAAATAGTGTAATAGAAATTTTGGTCTAATACTTTGTTAGGTCGAAATTTTGGTATTAACACTTTGTGGGAACATTTTTGTATAATAAATTTTACACGTATACTTTGTTGTGATAGTTTTTTTTCTAGAAAATTTTGGCCATGACTTTCTTGAATTACTATTCGGGAATTATACTTTGGAGGACATTTGAATTAGAGAATTTTGTTCGAAAACTTTAGAAAATTACTTTTCGGCCTTTATTTTAAATGTTGTTTTAATCTTTAATAAGAACATTTTGTTGGAACAATTTTCTTTAGAAATATGGTACAATACTTTCTTGTGATACTTTTGCATAGAAATTGTTGGTTCAATTCTTTGTTGTTACTTTTAACAATTGTTTTCAATGTTTGTTTTTAATATTTAAACAATTGTTTTTATTATTCAGTGAAACTTTTATGGAATATTTATGATTATTCTATTTATCCATTAAATTTGCTGACATTTTATTTACTTCTTTTTTGGTTAATAAAACAAAGTTTGTTTTTATAACAATTTTGTTAAAAAACTAAATAAAAAAACTTTTCGTTAATTTGTTTTTATTTATTTGACAGATACACTAACTGACGTCTTAAGCACGTTCCGTTGCCTACGGTAACATGCCATCTCTGTGTTGGCAATTTTTTTTTCATAAAATACTCTTTTTTTATTTAAATGAATTTAAATTAAAATGGACTTTGTACCACATCATATGTTGTCTGTTTTTTTTATTAATATAATCATAGCTGTCAGTTGTTTGTATATTATATTATATTTCCATTTGTTTGTTTTGTTTTTTTTTTCGCTCTACAGTTTAGTTTTTATTTATGTTTTGATAATTATTAGCAAGTGTTTAGCTAAATGCTTTAGGTGGAAGATTATTATGCTTCTATGAGGTTCTTCTATGTTTCTAGGTTCAAATCCGGTTGCAGGTGGTTTTATTCTTTCAGGTTTAGAAAATTTTCTAATTTGCACTTAAAATTGAAATTTCTTTGTTTAAACACAAAATACAATTAAATTTCTAGTTTGGTTAACAAACCCCGAAAAAAAGTGCTATAAAAAACTGGTTTTCAATTTGCAACTATTGGCTACGCTAACAATTACTAGTCAGTATACTAACGGAAACTATATTTAAAAAAACAATAATTAAATCTTTTGTTTTTGTTTTTTTTTATAGGAAAAAGGAAGTACAAAGCATAAATTAGAAATTAATCATTCCTACTTTATAAAAAAAACTTTTAAATTTTAAGAATTCTATCAAAATTTAAAACATTTTGTTATCAAATTTAGCTAAAACTTGATTTCTCTTCAAAAAAAAGCCAAATTTCTTGTTTAACTTTTAAAACATTGCAAAAATTTAGTATTTTTACAAACAAAGGAAGTTCTAGTTTTTGTTGTTGTCATTTTTACCAAATTCCAAAGCCACTAGTGGCTTTGATTTGTTTATCAACAGTCAAATGTTATCAAATTTAAACTCATTTTGTTTCAATAGAAATAATTAATTTACAAAGTCGCGGCTTTTTTTCATGAAAAAAAAAAAACTCATTAACATCCGCTTTCATATAGAATCTTCACCATTCATCGCCTATTAGATTAACATTGAAATTTCAAAATTGATAACAAACGTAACAAATTTCATTATTATAAAATTTTTAATCAAATCCCCATTTTAATCAATACACTTATCTCTACTTCCCTACTTTCCAGTTATGATATGGTACATTTTGGCCATGCCAATTCCTTAAGACAAGCCAAAGCTCTTGGTGATAAAGTGATTGTTGGCATACACACCGACGAAGAGATTGCCAAACATAAAGGACCACCGGTCTTCACCGAAGAGGAGCGTGTTAAAATGGTTAAAGGCATTAAATGGGTAGATGAGGTAGTGCTGGGCGCTCCCTATGTTACTACTCTGGAAGTTTTGGATGAACATAATTGTGATTTTTGTGTGCATGGTGGTAAGTTTTTTTTTTTTTTAAGATATTAAAAAATTGCGTAAAAATTTGTTTTTAAACATATATTTTTGGTTTAAAATTTTTTCCAGATGACATTACCATGACTGCGGAGGGTGTCGATACATATCATTTGGTTAAAAAGGCCAATAGATACAAGTAAGTTTTAGGAATTTTGATAAAATATTATATACTATTCTCCATAGTCCACACTATAGACTATTCAGACTTTAGACTATTCTATAGTCCAGACTAAAGGCTATTCTATAATCCAGACTATAGGCTATTCTGTAGTCCAGACTTTAGACTATTGTATAGTCCAGACTATAGACTATTCTATAGACTATTCTATAGTCCAGACTATAGACTATTCTATAGTCCAGACTATAGACTATTCTATAGTCCAGACTATAGACTATTCTATAGTCCAGACTATAGAATAGTCTATAGTCCAGACTATAGACTATTTTATAGTCCAGACTATAGACTATTCTATAGTGTAGGCTATAGACTATTCTATAGTCTAGACTATAGACTATTCTATAGTCTAGACTATAGACTATTCTATAGTCTAGACTATAGACTATTCTATAGTCCAGACTATAGACTATTCTATAGTCCAGACTATAGACTATTCTATAGTCCAGACTATAGACTATTCTATAGTCCAGTCTATAGACTATTCTATAGTCCAGACTATAGACTATTCTATAGTCCAGACTATAGACTATTCTATAGTCCAGACTATAGACTATTCTATAGTCCAGACTATAGACTATTCTATAGTCCAGACTATAGACTATTCTATAGTCCAGACTATAGACTATTCTATAGTGTAGGCTATAGACTATTCTGTAGTCCAGACTATAGACTATTCTATAGTCCAGACTATAGACTATTCTATAGTGTAGACTATAGACTATTCTATAGTGTAGACTATAGACTATTCTGTAGTCCAGACTTTAGACTATTTTATAGTCCAGACTATAGAATAGCCTATAGTCTGGACTATAGACTATTGTATAGTCCAGACTATAGACTATTGTATAGTCCAGACTATAGACTATTCTATAGTCCAGACTATAGACTATTCTATAGTGTAGACTATAGACTATTCTGTATTCCAAACTATAGACTATTCTGTAGTCCAGACTATAGACTATTCTGTAGTCCAGACTATAGAATAGTCTATAGTCTGGACTATAGACTATTGTATAGTCCAGACAGACTCTATAGTGTAGGCTATAGACTATTCTGTAGTCCAGACTATAGACTATTCTATAGTCCAGACTATAGATTATTCTATAGTGTAGACTATAGACTATTCTGTAGTCCAGACTATCGACTATTCTGTAGTCCAGACTATCGACTATTCTGTAGTCCAGACTTTAGACTATTCTGTAGTCCAGACTTTAGACTATTTTATAGAATAGTCTACAGTCTGGACTATAGACTATTGTATAGTCTGGACTATAGACTATTCTACAGTCCAGACTATAGACTATTGTATAGTCTGGACTATAGACTATTCTACAGTCCAGACTATAGACTATTGTATAATCTGGACTATAGACTATTCTATAGTCCAGACTATAGACTATTCTAAAGTCCAGACTATAGACTATTCTAAAGTCCAGAATATAGACTATTCTATAGTCCAGACTATAGACTATTCTATAGTCCAGACTATAGACTATTCTATAGTCCAGACTATAGACTATTCTATAGTCCAGACTATAGACTATTCTATAGTACAGACTATAGACTATTCTATAGTACAGACTATAGACTATTCTGTGGTCCAGACTATCGACTATTCTGTGGTCCAGACTATCGACTATTCTGTAGTCCAGACTATCGACTTTTCTGTAGTTCAGACTTTAGACTATTTTATAGTCCAGACTATAGAATAGTCTATAGTCTGGACTATAGACCATTGTATAGTCTGGACTATAGACTATTCTACAGTCCAGACTATAGACTATTGTATAATCTGGACTATAGACTATTCTACAGTCCAGACTATAGACTACTCTATATTCCAGACTATAGACTACTCCGTAGTCCAGCTATAGACTACCCTATAGTCCAGACTATAGACTATTCTATAGTTCAGACTATAGATTATTCTATTGTTCAGACTATAGACTATTCTATAGATTAATCTGCAGTCCATGCTAAACTCTAAAGTCACAAGACTATCCCATAGCCTAGAAATCTAGATTGTTTATTACCCTTTTTACTAACTAATGTTTTTCTCTCCCTTTCTTTTTGATTATTTCCAGGGAAGTTAAACGCACAGCTGGTGTTTCTACCACAGATTTAGTCGGTCGTATGTTATTATTAACCAAAAATCATTTTCATCAAGGTTCTGCAGAATATGCCATTGAAAAAGAAGGTAAGTTGCCACCTAAAAAAAAGGTTTTAATTTTAATGCTTTTCTTTTAACACACAAAAGTAAATTTTTTTTACAAAATTTCCAAATTTTTTTGTGTTAAAATTTGTTTTGCTATTTGTTTTTCTCTGTATTTCTTTGTTCAAATTGCTGCATATATTTATAAATAATTTTTTTAATATATTTTTTACCTTTATTTTTAACTGCATGCCTCTTAAAAATGACATTTTTCGTAACAACAACAACTACAAGTTATAAGTAAAATTTTCGATTATAAAACACATTTGTTTGTTGTTTTCTTTTAAAGCTATTGTTTGTTGTGTATGTGTTATTTTGCTTTTTTATTTTAATTTATATTAAAGTGTATTTTGTTAATCTCGCTTTTGTTTTTTTTCTTTCTTGTAAAAAAATCCAACTTTTTTAACTTCATTTTTATTGTTTTTCTTCTTTTTTTCTTTTCTTATTCTATGTCTAACCTCACTTACACTCTACCTTTAATAAAATCTTTGACTCTTAATAATCCTAATGAAAAATCAAAATTCCAAAATGTTCAAAAAAATATTGAAAATAATGCAAAAATTCCTTCACCACTACTGCTGTTTGTCTGTTGTATTTGATTTTGTATTAATTTATATGTGTGCTCCTAAATGTATGCAACGCTATAACCTGCAAATGAAACCAAAACAACTGCAAAATTTCGCTCTTAACCCTGAATATCAAAATGCCTTAAAATATGCAAACAAAAAAACAATGCAAAACTATAAATTGTTATTATTTTTGGTGTGTCTTCTTGGTTTTGGCTGTCTTTACTTTTCTTTTTTCAATATTCTTTTTATTTCTTTTGTAAATGCTCCCTTTTTTCCTTTAAAAAAACTAACTGGCAAATTATTAAGAAAAATCTTTAATTGATAAAGTATTGAATAAAAGCATTCCAAAAAACAAATTATTATCATTAGGTTCTTCAAATATGGGTCAAGATTCTGCCGCCAAATCTCCCTGGACTGGTTGCAGTCAATTCCTGCCCACTACACAGAAAATCATTCAGTTCAGTGATGGTAAATCACCCAAACCGGGGGATAAAATTGTAAGTTTTTCCTTTATTATTAATATCTTAGATTTAGTTTTTGAATAGTTTTTTTTTCTTTAAAGGTTTATGTAGCTGGTGCCTTTGATTTATTCCATGTGGGTCATTTAGATTTCCTACAAAAGGCCAAAGAATTGGGTGATTATCTCATTGTTGGTTTGCACACAGATCCCGTGGTCAACTCCTACAAGGGCAGTAATTATCCCATTATGAATTTACATGAACGTGTACTCAGTGTTTTGGCGTGTAAGGTGAGTTTGGAAAGAGATTTTGAGGAAACTTAGTTATCCATAGAGACTAGACAATAGGGTCAACTATAGACTGGACTATAAACTAAACTATAGACCAGACTATAGACTAAACTATAGACTAGACTATAGACTAGACTATAGACTAAACTATAGACCAGACTATAGACTAAACTATAGACCAGACTATAGACTAAACTATAGACTAGACTATAGACTAGACTATAGACTAAACTATAGACTAGACTATAGACCTAACTATAGACTAGACTATAGACTAGCACTAGACTATAGACTAGACTATAGACTAGACTATAGACTAGACTATAGACTAGACTATAGACTAGACTATAGACTAGACTATAGACTAGACTATAGACTAGACTATAGACTAGCTATAGACTAGACTATAGACTAGACTATAGACTAGACTATAGACTAGACTATAGACTAGACTATAGACTAGACTATAGACTAGACTATAGACTAGACTAAAGACTAGACTATAGACTAGACTATAGACTAGACTATAGACTAGACTATAGACTAGATTAATGGAGACTAGAAATATAGACTAGACTATAGACTAGACTATAGACTAGACTATAGACTAGACTATAGACTAGACTATAGACTAGACTATAGACTAGACGATAGACTAGACTATAGACTAGACTATAGACTAGACTATAGACTAGACTATAGACTAGACTATAGACTAGACTATAGACTAGACTATAGACTAGACTATAGACTAGACTATAGACTAGACTATAACTAGACTATAGACTAGACTATAGACTAGACTATAGACTAGACTATAGACTAGACTATAGACTAGACTATAGACTAGACTATAGACTAGACTATAGACTAGACTATAGACTAGACTATAGACTACTAGACTATACTAGACTATACTATAGACTAGACTATAGACTAGACTAGACTATAGACTAGACTAGACTATAGACTAGACTAGACTATAGACTATAGACTAGACTAGACTATAGACTAGACTAGACTAGACTAGACTAGACTAGACTAGACTATAGACTAGACTAGACTAGACTAGACTAGACTAGACTAGACTATAGACTAGACTAGACTATAGACTAGACTAGACTATAGACTAGACTAGACTATAGACTAGACTAGACTATAGACTAGACTATTGACTAGACTATAGACTAGACTATAGACTAGACTATAGACTAGACTATAGACTAGACTATAGACTAGACTATAGACTAGACTATAGACTAGACTATAGACTAGACTATAGACTAGACTATAGACTAGACTATAGACTAGACTATAGACTAGACTATAGACTAGACTATAGACTAGACTATAGACTAGACTATAGACTAGGCTATAGACTAGACTATAGACTAGACTATAGACTAGACTATAAACTAGACTATAGACTAGACTATAGACTAGATTATAGACTAGACTATAGACTAGACTATAGACTAGACTATAGACTAGACTATAGACTAGACTATAGACTAGACTATAGACTAGACTATAGACTAGACTATAGACTAGACTATAGACTAGACTATAGACTAGACTATAGACTAGACTATAGACTAGACTATAGACTAGACTATAGACTAGACTATAGACTAGACTATAGACTAGACTATAGACTAGACTATAGACTAGACTATAGACTAGACTATAGACTAGACTATAGACTAGACTATAGACTAGACTATAGACTAGACTATAGACTAGACTATAGACTAGACTATAGACTAGACTATAGACTAGACTATAGACTAGACTATAGACTAGACTAGACTATAGACTAGACTATAGACTAGACTATAGACTAGACTATAGACTACTAGACTATAGACTAGACTATAGACTAGACTATAGACTAGACTATAGACTAGACTATAGACTAGACTAGCTAGACTATAGACTAGACTAGACTAGACTATAGACTAGACTATAGACTAGACTATAGACTAGACTATAGACTAGACTATAGACTACTATAGACTAGACTATAGACTAGACTATAGACTAGACTATAGACTAGACTATAGACTAGATTGACTATAGACTAGACTATAGATTAGACTATAGACTAGACTATAGATTAGACAATAGACTAGACTATAGACTAGACTATAGACTAGACTAGAGACTAGACTATAAACTGGACTATAGACTAGACTATAGACTAGACTATAGACTAGACTATAGACTAGACTATAGACTAGACTATAGACTAGACTATAGACTAGACTATAAACTGGACTATAAACTAGAATTGGAGAAAATTTGCTTCAATTCTTTACAAGAAAAAATTTTTAATGAAAAGTATTTTTTTGAACCTTTCCTTCCAGTACGTTAATGAAGTTGTTATTGGTGCTCCCTACTGTGTTACCGAAGATTTACTGGATCATTTCAAAGTTGACGTAGTGTGTCATGGACAGACACCAATTGCTTTAGAAGATGGTAAACTTGATCCCTATGCCGTACCCAAGACAAGAGGCATTTTCAGTCTTATCGTTTCCGGCAACGATATGACAACCGAACGTATCGTAGAACGCATCATTAATCATCGTCTCGAATACGAAAGACGCAACAAGGCCAAAGAGAAGAAAGAGGTGGAAGCCTTTGAGGCTCTGCAACGTGCCAAGCAAACACAAAAAGCAGGCTAATATTAAGAAATGACACAAAATAGGAACCCGCGCGCCACACACAAATCTCTCTCCTATTCTACTACTACTACTACTACTACTAATCCTCTAAATAGGAAATAAAACAAACTTTAAACAACAAACAATTAATGGAACTAGATTTTCGAGAACCTAGCTTATAAAATTTTAAGTCTTGAGTGTTAATTCTAAACTAAAAAGAAAAGATTAACTCAAATTTTTAAGAGAATTTCAACATAATTTTAATATAATTATAATTATTAGCTTTTTATTTTTATTATTTTGTTTTATTATTATTAATTATATGAAATATTTATTAGTATTTAAGTTTTTTTTTCATTTTTATGTTTTATTAAGCAATTGGTTTTATTTTCTTTTGTTAATTCAATTTTTTTTTTTTAACATAGTACAATTTATATTTTGTTTATCATCGTTTTAACTATCAATATTTTTTTACATATTTCTTAACATTTTTTTTTCAAATAAAGACACATTTTGCTGTCTTTTTGCTTTATATAACCGTTATTGTTCTTATCCCTCAAATAATTAAAAATAAACATTTTAAAAAGCTTGTAATTTTATATTAAAAACTATAAATTAATAATCTCTTTAAAAATTATCTATTATAAAGAAATCTGTAGTTAATTATAACAAATTAATTAATATTTAATAACCTAAAAACAAATATCCTCCCTGTTGTATAACCAACAACTTGCCTGTTCTTTTTGTGTAGTTTTTTTGTATTAGTTAAATGGAAATTTAAAACCAAATTTGTATAAGTTTATTAATATTTTTTTGTTTTTGCTTTTAAGTTTTATGTTACGATTTATTTTTTTTTTTTTTCAATTGCAAAAGAAAAACAAAAAACATTTATATTGTTTTTTATATACTTCTAGAATGTTTTTTATTTTATAAATTAATTTATTATATGTGTTTAATAAACAATAATTATTATGTATTTAAACAAAAATAATAAAAAGGAGTTTCTTTTTAATGGAGCGGTAGATCTTTGGTTTGGCATTATTATGACTTTTTTGTACCTTGCAGCATTTTTGAGTTTTTTAGAGAAAATTACTTGGGACACTTTCAGAGACTAGATTATAGACTAGACAAAGATCGATTATAGACACGACCATAGGCTAGACTGTAGACTATGCTATAGACTAGACCATAGGACTAGACTATAGAATATACTACAATCTAGTCTGAAGACTAGACCATGTAGACTAGACTATAGACTAGACTATAGACTAGACTATAGACCAGGCTATAGACTAGATTATAGACTAGACTAGACTATAGACTAGATTATAGACTAGACTATAGACTAGATTATAGACTAGACTATAGACTAGATTATAGACTAGACTATAGACTAGACTAATAGACCAGGCTATAGACTAGACTATAGACCAGGCTATAGACCAGACTATAGACTAGACTATAGACTAGACTATAGACTAGACTATAGACTAGACTATAGACAGGCTATAGACTAGACTATAGACTAGACTATAGACTAGACTATAGACTAGACTATAGACTTAGACGAGACGATAGACTAGACTATAAGACTAGACTATAGACTAGACTATAGACTAGACTATAGACTAGACTATAGACTAGACTATAGACTAGACTATAGACTAGACTATAGACTAGACTATAGACTAGACTATAGACTAGACTATAGACTGGACTATAGACTAGACTATAGACTAGACTATAGACTAGACTATAGACTAGACTATAGACTAGACTATAGACTAGACTATAGACTAGACTATAGACTAGACTATAGACTAGACTATAGACTAGACTATAGACTAGACTATAGACTAGACTATAGACTAGACTATAGACTAGACTATAGACTAGACTATAGACTAGACTATAGACTAGACTATAGACTAGACTATAGACTAGACTATAGACTAGACTATAGACTAGACTATAGACTAGACTATAGACTAGACTATAGACTAGACTATAGACTAGACTATAGACTAGACTATAGACTAGACTATAGACTAGACTATAGACTAGACTATAGACTAGACTATAGACTAGACTATAGAATAGACTATGGACTAGACTATAGACTAGACTATAGACTAGGCTATAGACTAGACTATAGACTAGACTATAGACTAGACTATAGACTAGACTATAGACTAGACTATAGACTAGACTATAGACTAGACTATAGACTAGACTATAGACTAGACTATAGACTAGACTATAGACTAGACTATAGACTAGACTATAGACTAGACTATAGACTAGACTATAGACTAGACTATAGACTAGACTATAGACTAAACTATAGACTAGACTATAGACTAGACTATAGACTAGACTATAGACTAGACTAGACTATAGACTAGACTAGACTATAGACTAGACTAGACTATAGACTAGACTATAGACTAGACTATAGACTAGACTATAGACTAGACTATAGACTAGACTATAGACTAGACTATAGACTAGACTATAGACTAGACTATAGACTAGACTATAGACTAGACTATAGACTAGACTATAGACTAGACTATAGACTAGACTATAGACTAGACTATAGACTAGACTATAGACTAGACTATAGACTAGACTATAGACTAGACTATAGACTAGACTATAGACTAGACTATAGACTAGACTATAGACTAGACTATAGACTAGACTATAGACTAGACTATAGACTAGACTATAGACTAGACTATAGACTAGACTATAGACTAGACTATAGACTAGACTATAGACTAGACTATAGACTAGACTATAGACTAGACTATAGACTAGACTATAGACTAGACTATAGACTAGACTATAGACTAGACTATAGACTAGACTATAGACTAGACTATAGACTAGACTATAGACTAGACTATAGACTAGACTATAGACTAGACTATAGACTAGACTATAGACTAGACTATAGACTAGACTATAGACTAGACTATAGACTAGACTATAGACTAGACTATAGACTAGACTATAGACTAGACTATAGACTAAACTATAGACTAGACTATAGACTAGACTATAGACTAGACTATAGACTAGACTATAGACTAGACTATAGACTAGACTATAGACTAGACTAGACTATAGACTAGACTAGACTAGACTAGACTATAGACTAGACTATAGACTGACTATAGACTAGACTATAGACTAGACTATAGACTAGACTATAGACTAGACTATAGACTAGACTATAGACTAGACTATAGACTAGACTATAGACTAGACTATAGACTAGACTATAGACTAGACTATAGACTAGACTATAGACTAGACTATAGACTAGACTATAGACTAGACTATAGACTAGACTATAGACTAGACTATAGACTAGACTATAGACTAGACTATAGACTAGACTATAGACTAGACTATAGACTAGACTATAGACTAGACTATAGACTAGACTATAGACTAGACTATAGAAACTATAGACTAGACTATAGAATAACTATAGACTAGACTATAGACTAGACTATAGAATAAACTATAGACTAGACTATAGACTAGACTATAGACTAGACTATAGACTAGACTATAGACTAGACTATAGACTAGACTATAGACTAGACTATAGACTAGACTATAGACTAGACTATAGACTAGACTATAGACTAGACTATAGACTAGACTATAGACTAGACTATAGACTAGACTATAGACTAGACTATAGACTAGACTATAGACTAGACTATAGACTAGACTATAGACTAGACTATAGACTAGACTATAGACTAGACTATAGACTAGACTATAGACTATACTATAGACTAGACTATAGACTAGACTATAGACTAGACTATAGACTAGACTATAGACTAGACTATAGACTAGACTATAGACTAGACTATAGACTAGACTATAGGACTATAGACTAGACTATAGACTAGACTATAGACTAGACTATAGACTAGACGATAGACTAGACTATAGACTAGACTATAGACTAGACTATAGACTAGACTATAGCTAGACTATAGACTAGACTATAGACTAGACTATAGACTAGACTATAGACTAGACTATAGACTAGACTATAGACTAGACTATAGACTAGACTATAGACTAGACTATAGACTAGACTATAGACTAGACTATAGACTAGACTATAGACTAGACTATAGACTAGACTATAGACTAGACTATAGACTAGACTATAGACTAGACTATAGACTAGACTATAGACTAGACTAAGACTAGACTATAGACTAGACTATAGACTAGACTATAGACTAGACTATAGACTAGACATAGACTAGACTATAGACTAGACTATAGACTATAGACTAGACTATAGACTAGACTATAGACTAGACTATAGACTAGACTATAGACTAGACTATGACTAGACTATAGACTAGACTATAGACTAGACTAGACTATAGACTAGACTATAGACTAGACTATAGACTAGACTATAGACTAGACTATAGACTAGACTATAGACTGGACTATAGACTAGACTATAGACTAGACTATAGACTAGACTATAGACTAGACTATAGACTAGACTATAGACTAGACTATAGACTAGACTATAGACTAGACTATAGACTAGACTATAGACTAGACTATAGACTAGACTATAGACTAGACTATAGACTAGACTATAGACTGGACTATAGACTAGACTATAGACTAGACTATAGACTAGACTATAGACTAGACTATAGACTAGACTATAGACTAGACTATAGACTAGACTTAGACTAGACTATAGACTAGACTATAGACTAGACTATAGACTAGACTATAGACTAGACTATAGACTAGACTATAGACTAGACTATAGACTAGAGATAGACTAGACTATAGACTAGACTATGGACTAGACTATAGACTAGACTAGACTATAGACTATAATATAGACTAGACACTTAATTTTCTTAATATAATTTATTATATTTTTTCGTTTTAATATTTTGGGATTTTCCTAAACATAAATCACAACAATAGTTTGTCTGTTAACATTATTATTACAAACTATATTAATTTGCTAATTATTAATAAACATAAGTTAGATATAAAAAATATTAAACCTATAGTAAACCTTTAACAATAGAACCAAATAAGTTGTTTATATTGCAAAATTAACTAGTTTGGTTTTTTTCATATTATTATTAAATATTTCTATCAGAATGGAAAATATGTCAAAAAAATTAATTAACTACACGGAAGTTTTTTCCATATAATACTAACTAGTTAATAAATAGAGTATTTATAATATAAAACTAAAGAATAGATAGATAATTCATTAAGCTTCCGTTTAAAAAATTTAACTATGACACATAAACTAAACCAAAACCAGATCCACTTCATCTCTTTATGAATTTATAAAAAAAAATATTACAAATTTTCATTTTATTTGTTGGTGTAACAAACATTTTTATTATTAAAAGCTGTTAACAATTTTTTTTAACCGTTAAATTTTGTTTATTTTTTTGGTGGTTTTTGAAACAAATTTACCGTTAGATGTCATTAAACCACCAAGATTTAAACGTTTAACTAAATGACCATAAAATTGCATAAAAACTTAACAAATGATTGATTTTCAGTGAAAAAATTATTTCATTTACGTTTCATATTTAACAAATTTTATATAAAAACATAAATGAAAGTGAAATAAGTTTTTTTTTTTTTTCAAATAAAAATTATATGGGTTGTGTGTGATGCTATGGTTTTAGAGATGACATAAATAATTATAGATAAATTCAATTTATAATGTACTACTTTGTCTTTTACAATGATTTAAACAGTTAATAACATATTTTGAAATATTTCAATTCGAAACAATATTATTTTCTCTAGGAAAATTGACATCAGTACAAGGTAATTTTTCTTCGAAACTATAGTCTAGTCTATAGTCTAGTCTATAGTCTAGTCTAGTCTAGTCTATAGTCTAGTCTATAGTCTAGTCTAGTCTAGTCTATAGTCTAGTCTATAGTCTAGTCTATAGTCTAGTATAGTATAGTCTATCTAGTCTATAGTCTAGTCTATAGTCTAGTCTATAGTCTAGTCTATAGTCTAGTCTATAGTCTAGTCTATAGTCTAGTCTATAGTCTAGTCTATAGTCTAGTCTATAGTCTAGTCTATAGTCTAGTCTATAGTCTAGTCTCTAGTCTAGTCTATAGTCTAGTCTATAGTCTAGTCTATAGTCTAGTCTATAGTCTAGTCTATAGTCTAGTCTATAGTCTAGTCTATAGTCTAGTCTATAGTCTAGTCTATAGTCTAGTCTATAGTCTAGTCTAGTATAGTCTATAGTCTAGTCTATAGTCTAGTCTATAGTCTAGTCTATAGTCTAGTCTATAGTCTAGTCTATAGTCTAGTCTATAGTCTAGTCTATAGTCTAGTCTATAGTCTAGTCTATAGTCTAGTCTATAGTCTAGTCTATAGTCTAGTCTATAGTCTAGTCTATAGTCTAGTCTATAGTCTAGTCTATAGTCTAGTCTATAGTCTAGTCTATAGTCTAGTCTATAGTCTAGTCTATAGTCTAGTCTATAGTCTAGTCTATAGTCTAGTCTATAGTCTAGTCTATAGTCTAGTCTATAGTCTAGTCTATAGTCTAGTCTATAGTCTAGTCTATAGTCTAGTCTATAGTCTAGTCTATAGTCTAGTCTATAGTCTAGTCTATAGTCTAGTCTATAGTCTAGTCTATAGTCTAGTCTATAGTCTAGTCTATAGTCTAGTCTATAGTCTAGTCTATAGTCTAGTCTATAGTCTAGTCTATAGTCTAGTCTATAGTCTAGTCTATAGTCTAGTCTATAGTCTAGTCTATAGTCTAGTCTATAGCTAAGTCTATAGTCTAGTCTATAGCTAGTCTATAGTCTAGTCTATAGTCTAGTCTATAGTCTAGTCTATAGTCTAGTCTATAGTCTAGTCTAGTCTAGTATAGTCTAGTCTATAGTCTAGTCTATAGTCTAGTCTATAGTCTAGTCTATAGTCTAGTCTATAGTCTAGTCTATAGTCTAGTCTATAGTCTAGTCTATAGTCTAGTCTATAGTCTAGTCTATAGTCTAGTCTATAGTCTAGTCTATAGTCTAGTCTATAGTCTAGTCTATAGTCTAGTCTATAGTCTAGTCTATAGTCTAGTATAGTCTATAGTCTAGTCTATAGTCTAGTCTATAGTCTAGTCTATAGTCTAGTCTATAGTCTAGTCTGTAGTCTAGTCTATAGTCTAGTCTATAGTCTAGTCTATAGTCTAGTCTATAGTCTAGTCTATAGTCTAGTCTATAGTCTAGTCTATAGTCTAGGCTATAGTCTAGTCTATAGTCTAGTCTATAGTCTAGTCTATAGTCTAGTCTATAGTCTAGTCTATAGTCTAGTCTATAGTCTAGTCTATAGTCTAGTCTATAGTCTAGTCTATAGTCTAGTCTATAGTCTAGTCTATAGTCTAGTCTAGTCAGTCTAGTCTATAGTCTAGTCTATAGTCTAGTCTATAGTCTAGTCTAGTCTATAGTCTAGTCTATAGTCTAGTCTATAGTCTAGTCTATAGTCTAGTCTATAGTCTAGTCTATAGTCTAGTCTATAGTAGTCTAGTCTATAGTCTAGTCTATAGTCTAGTCTATAGTCTAGTCTATAGTCTAGTCTATAGTCTAGTCTATAGTCTAGTCTATAGTCTAGTCTATAGTCTAGTCTATAGTCTAGTCTATAGTCTAGTCTATAGTCTAGTCTATAGTCTAGTCTATAGTCTAGTCTATAGTCTAGTCTATAGTCTAGTCTATAGTCTAGTCTATAGTCTAGTCTATAGTCTAGTCTATAGTCTAGTCTATAGTCTAGTCTATAGTCTAGTCTATAGTCTAGTCTATAGTCTAGTCTATAGTCTAGTCTATAGTCTAGTCTATAGTCTAGTCTATAGTCTAGTCTATAGTCTAGTCTATAGTCTAGTCTATAGTCTAGTCTATAGTCTAGTCTATAGTTAGTCTATAGTCTAGTCTATAGTCTAGTCTATAGTCTAGTCTATAGTCTAGTCTATAGTCTAGTCTATAGTCTAGTCTATAGTCTAGTCTATAGTCTAGTCTATAGTCTAGTCTATAGTCTAGTCTAGTCTAGTCTATAGTCTAGTCTATAGTCTAGTCTATAGTCTAGTCTATAGTCTAGTCTATAGTCTAGTCTATAGTCTAGTCTATAGTCTAGTCTATAGTCTAGTCTATAGTCTAGTCTATAGTCTAGTCTATAGTCTAGTCTAGTCTATAGTCTAGTCTATAGTCTAGTCTAGTCTATAGTCTAGTCTATAGTCTAGTCTAGTCTAGTCTATAGTCTAGTCTACTATAGTCTAGTCTAGTCTATAGTCTAGTCTATAGTCTAGTCTATAGTCTAGTCTAGTCTATAGTCTAGTCTATAGTCTAGTATATAGTCTAGTCTATAGTCTAGTCTATAGTCTAGTCTATAGTCTAGTCTATAGTCTAGTCTATAGTCTAGTCTATAGTCTAGTCTATAGTCTAGTCTAGTCTAGTCTATAGTCTAGTCTATAGTCTAGTCTATAGTCTAGTCTATAGTCTAGTCTATAGTCTAGTCTATAGTCTAGTCTATAGTCTAGTCTATAGTCTAGTCTATAGTCTAGTCTATAGTCTAGTCTATAGTCTAGTCTATAGTCTAGTCTATAGTCTAGTCTATAGTCTAGTCTATAGTCTAGTCTATAGTCTAGTCTATAGTCTAGTCTATAGTCTAGTCTATAGTCTAGTCTATAGTCTAGTCTATAGTCTAGTCTATAGTCTAGTCTATAGTCTAGTCTATAGTCTAGTCTATAGTCTAGTCTATAGTCTAGTCTATAGTCTAGTCTATAGTCTAGTCTATAGTCTAGTCTATAGTCTAGTCTATAGTCTAGTCTATAGTCTAGTCTATAGTCTAGTAGTCTAGTCTATAGTCTAGTCTATAGTCTAGTCTATAGTCTAGTCTATAGTCTAGTCTATAGTCTAGTCTATAGTCTAGTCTATAGTCTAGTCTATAGTCTAGTCTATAGTCTAGTCTATAGTCTAGTCTATAGTCTAGTCTATAGTCTAGTCTATAGTCTAGTCTATAGTCTAGTCTATAGTCTAGTCTATAGTCTAGTCTATAGTCTAGTCTATAGTCTAGTCTATAGTCTAGTCTATAGTCTAGTCTATAGTCTAGTCTATAGTCTAGTCTATAGTCTAGTCTATAGTCTAGTCTATAGTCTAGTCTATAGTCTAGTCTATAGTCTAGTCTATAGTCTAGTCTATAGTCTAGTCTATAGTCTAGTCTATAGTCTAGTCTAGTCTAGTCTATAGTCTAGTCTATAGTCTAGTCTATAGTCTAGTCTATAGTCTAGTCTATAGTCTAGTCTATAGTCTAGTCTATAGTCTAGTCTATAGTCTAGTCTATAGTCTAGTCTATAGTCTAGTCTATAGTCTAGTCTATAGTCTAGTCTATAGTCTAGTCTACAGTCTAGTCTATAGTATAGTCTTGATTTATTAAACTTTTTGTTTGCTTTTAAAGTTTAAACTCTCAACAGTTGCCAGGTCCAAATCAAACCGGAAATTTTAACAAAATTTTGGAAAAAAATAAATTCTTTATCAAATGTTAAAGAAATTGTGTTAAAATCGTTAAACTTTTAATTTCATTTCTCTAGATGAGTATTTTCGCTGTTGTATCCACAAAAAAACACTTTTACCCAAATAAAAGTTTAAAATACCAAAAAGAGTTTAATCACAGATTAGATCAGTAGCTAAAGTACAAGCGCATGAACATGGATTGGTATACACTAGCTGTAGCTAGCAACAACAATTGGGACTATATTTGTTTAAATAACTACAACATTAAATTACAATTTATAAGAATTTAAATTACAAAAAAAAAAAAAGAGGGAGCAACATTTAGCTACTAGTAGTTAGTTAGTAGGTATGAATGTACTATCACCCATCATAAAAACATCGAAAACATCAATTTAAAATGATGTTTTATTTTTTTTAATATATAAAAAAAGTTTTAACCACAACAACAACAATAACTTTTAAACAAATTAATAATGAAAGCAGTTAAAACAGCAGCAGTAGCCAGTAACAACAACAACAACTTAAATAATAATGGTTCAAAAGTTTTTTTTTTGTTGTATATTTTTAAACCAAAATACAATTTTATTGGTCTAATGGATTTTAGAATGATTCTGTAGAGAAAATTCCAAATCATCAACATTTATAGTTGGTTAAATGCATTCAAAGGGTTCGGACGCGTTTTACGGAAAAATTATAATTTACTAGAGCGGCCGGTTTTATATAAACACTAAACTTTTTTTTGCTATTTTGTCGGTGAAAGGTTGCTAAAGTGTGGAATTTGTACTAATAACATCAACGCTAACGTCAAATAATTTCTATACCAGTGCATTTTATAAAAAAACATACATTTAATAATTCTATTGTAAAACAGTGTGTGTGTTTTTCCAAATGACTTTAAAGTCTGTTACTATTCACGGTCATAGAATGTGGGGGCATTTATGGCAAATTTTCACTTTTCTTGTAATTGGATTATTAGCTGATGTGGGAAATTGTGAATATGGGGAATTTGGTAAGTTGGAAAAGAAAAAAAAAGTTAATAAAAAGCATTTAGAAAAGTTAACAAAGAGTCCTTTGAAAAGGATTTATAGTTGAAACTAGAGTCCAGTTTATAGACAAGATTACAATGCAGTATATAAAAGAGAAAATTGGACTAGTCTATCGACAATACTACAGTCCAGTCTCCAGTCCAATCTACAGACTATGCTATAGTGCAGTCTACAGATAAGAATATAGTACAGTCACGAGATCCAATCTATAGACGAGACTATAAGTTCAGTATACTATAATATAGCAAGACTTTAGTCCATTCTATGGACGAAACTGTAGTCAAGTTTTTAGACGAAACTATAGCCCATACTATAGACGAAACTGTTCAGTCTACAGACAATACTATAATCCAGTTTATAGACAAGCTTATAGTCTATTCAACAGATAAGACTAAATATAATCCAATGTATTGACGTGACTATAGTCCAAATTATAGACTAATATCGTCTAAAAATATTATAGAGCAATATATATAATCCATAGATGAGAATCTGGTCCAGTCTATATATGACACTATAATCCATTGTAGTGACGAGACTGTAGTCCATTCTCAAGAACACGTTATGTATCCGTCTATAAACGATAGAATATATTATAATACGGTCTGTAGATAAGATTATAGTGCAATCTATATTTCCAAATGGACGAGACTTTAGACTATCCTATAGATGTCACTATAGTCCACTATATAAATTGACGAAAAAATTGACTATTCATTTTACTGTGACTAGACTATAGACTAGACTATAAACTACACTATAGACTACACTGTAGACTAGCCTACAGACTAGACTATAGACTAGACTATAGACTAGACTATAGACTAGACTATAGACTAGACTATAGACTAGACTATAGACTAGACTATAGACTAGACTATAGACTAGACTAGACTATAGACTATAGACTAGACTAGACTATAGACTAGACTATAGACTAGACTATAGACTAGACTAGACTAGACTAGACTAGACTAGACTATAGACTAGACTAGACTATAGACTATAGACTAGACTAGACTATAGACTATAGACTAGACTATAGACTAGACTATAGACTAGACTAGACTAGACTATAGACTAGACTATAGACTAGACTATAGACTAGACTATAGACTAGACTATAGACTAGACTATAGACTAGACTATAGACTAGACTATAGACTAGACTATAGACTAGACTATAGACTAGACTATAGACTAGACTATAGACTAGACTATAGACAAGACTATAGACTAGACTATAGACTAGACTATAGACTAGACTATAGACTAGACTATAGACTAGACTATAGACTAGACTATAGACTAGACTATAGACTAGACTATAGACTAGACTATAGACTAGACTATAGACTAGACTATGACTAGACTATAGACTAGACTATAGACTAGACTATAGACTAGACTATAGACTAGACTATAGACTAGACTATAGACTAGACTATAGACTAGACTATAGACTAGACTATAGACTAGACTATAGACTGACTATAGACTAGACTATAGACTAGACTATAGACTAGACTATAGACTAGACTATAGACTAGACTATAGACTAGACTATAGACTAGACTATAGACTAGACTATAGACTAGACTATAGACTAGACTATAGACTAGACTATAGACTAGACTATAGACTAGACTATAGACTAGACTATAGACTAGACTATAGACTAGACTATAGACTAGACTATAGACTAGACTATAGACACTATAGACTAGACTATAGACTAGACTATAGACTAGACTATAGACTAGACTATAGACTAGACTATAGACTAGACTATAGACTAGACTATAGACTAGACTATAGACTAGACTATAGACTAGACTATAGACTAGACTATAGACTAGACTATAGACTAGACTATAGACTAGACTATAGACTAGACTATAGACTAGACTATAGACTAGACTATAGACTAGACTATAGACTAGACTATAGACTAGACTATAGACTAGACTATAGACTAGACTATAGACTAGACTATAGACTAGACTATAGACTAGACTATAGACTAGACTATAGACTAGACTATAGACTAGACTATAGACTAGACTATAGACTAGACTATAGACTAGACTATAGACTAGACTATAGACTAGACTATAGACTAGACTATAGACTAGACTATAGACTAGACTATAGACTAGACTATAGACTAGACTATAGACTAGACTATAGACTAGACTATAGACTAGACTATAGACTAGACTATAGACTAGACTATAGACTAGACTATAGACTAGACTATAGACTAGACTATAGACTAGACTATAGACTAGACTATAGACTAGACTATAGACTAGACTATAGACTAGACTATAGACTAGACTATAGACTAGACTATAGACTTGACTATAGACTAGACTATAGACTAGACTATAGACTAGACTATAGACTAGACTATAGACTAGACTAAAGACTAGACTATAGACTAGACTATAGACTAGACTATAGACTAGACTATAGACTAAACTATAGACTAGACTATAGACTAGACTGTAGACTAGACTATAGACTAGACTGTAGACTAGACTATAGACTAGACTATAGACTAGACTATAGACTAGACTATAGACTAGACTATAGACTAGACTATAGACTAGACTATAGACTAGACTATAGACTAGACTATAGACTAGACTATAGACTAGACTATAGACTAGACTATAGACTAGACTATAGACTAGACTATAGACTAGACTATAGACTAGTCTATAGACTAGACTATAGACTAGACTATAGACTAGACTATAGACTAGACTATAGACTAGACTAGACTAGACTATAGACTAGACTATAGACTAGACTATAGACTAGACTATAGACTAGACTATAGACTAGACTATAGACTAGACTATAGACTAGACTATAGACTAGACTATAGACTAGACTATAGACTAGACTATAGACTAGACTATAGACTAGACTATAGACTAGACTATAGACTAGACTATAGACTAGACTATAGACTAGACTATAGACTAGACTATAGACTAGACTATAGACTAGACTATAGACTAGACTATAGACTAGACTATAGACTAGACTATAGACTAGACTATAGACTAGACTATAGACTAGACTATAGACTAGACTATAGACTAGACTATAGACTAGACTATAGACTAGACTATAGACTAGACTATAGACTAGACTATAGACTAGACTATAAACTAGACTATAGACTAGACTATAGACTAGACTATAGACTAGACTATAGACTAGACAATAGACTAGACAATAGACTAGACTATAAACTAGACTATAGACTAGACTATAGACTAGACTATAGACTAGACTATAGACTAGACTATAGACTAGACTATAGACTAGACTATAGACTAGACTATAGACTAGACTATAGACTAGACTATAAACTAGACTATAGACTAGACTATAGACTAGACTATAGACTAGACTATAGACTAGACTATAGACTAGACTATAGACTAGACTATAGACTAGACTATAGACTAGACTATAGACTAGACTATAGACTAGACTATAGACTAGACTATAGACTAGACTATAGACTAGACTATAGACTAGACTATAGACTAGACTATAGACTAGACTATAGACTAGACTAAGACTAGACTATAGACTAGACTATAGACTAGACTATAGACTAGACTATAGACTAGACTATAGACTAGACTATAGACTAGACTATAGACTAGACTATAGACTAGACTATAGACTAGACTATAGACTAGACTATAGACTAGACTATAGACTAGACTATAGACTAGACTATAGACTAGACTATAGACTAGACTATAGACTAGACTATAGACTAGACTATAGACTAGACTATAGACTAGACTATAGACTAGACTATAGACTAGACTATAGACTAGACTATAGACTAGACTATAGACTAGACTATAGACTAGACTATAGACTAGACTATAGACTAGACTATAGACTAAAGACTAGACTATAGACTAGACTATAGACTAGACTATAGACTAGACTATAGACTAGACTATAGACTAGACTATAGACTAGACTATAGACTAGACTATAGACTAGACTATAGACTAGACTATAGACTAGACTATAGACTAGACTATGGACTAGACTATAGACTAGACTATAGACTAGACTATAGACTAGACTATAGACTAGACAATGGACTAGACTATAGACTAGACTATAGACTAGACTAGACTATAGACTAGACTATAGACTAGACTATAGGCTATAGTCGATACTATAGACTAGACTGAAGACTAGACTGAAGACTAGACTATAGACAATCTGTATGCGACGAGACTTTAGTCTAGTTAGGATTATAGTTCCCTTTGTAGTAAAGACTATAATCTTATAAGTTTATACTTTCTAGTCCAAAATATAGACCAGTCTATAGACCGACCACATTACAGTCAAATCAGATTTTTTATTAAAAATTTTAATTCTGTACAATGATTTTTTCGATAATTTCAGAAAAACTAGTAGTTCCCGGTAGTTATGCCAAACCTGCGTCTACCGGTCCGCAAGGACGCTCCTACGGCCAGAGAGCTTATTATGACGCTAATACTGAGTGTACAGTGGGTACTGAATGTACACCACTACACGATTGTACAGCCATGATTTACGAAGTAGCAAAAATGTGCTATTACGGTGATAAATCATTGTTTTGTGGTGGTGGAGAGGAAATGCCCTATGTATGTTGTCCCAGTAGTCCACTGGAGAAAAATCAAGTTTGTGGCAAATCCTTGGTGCAGGGACATTTCTATCGTGGTCTGGGCACCTATCCATTTGTGGCGAGGATAGGATTTAAACGTAAGTTTGAAAAGTTGTAACTGAAATAAATATATTTTTATATAAGTATAAACGATTTAAACAGATATTAATACCGGGGCCTTTGCTTATCCCTGTGCTGGTTCGGTAATAGCCAGAAGAGTTATATTGACAGCTGCCCACTGTGCTTTAGCCAAGCAGATGGTCATAGATTGTGAGTATGAAGAAAATTTTAAAAATTTTAAATGAATATTGAAAATATGGTTCTTTAGATCCTCTGTACGTGTCGGCGAATATGATACCTCTTCCGATCCCGATTGCGCCACTACCGGTTTTTGTGCACCACGATCGGTCAATCATGCCATAAGTCATGTCATTGTACATCCCGATTATAAACAGGGTCAATACCATCACGATATTGCCTTGTTGGTGTTAAAAACACCTCTCAATTATTCTGGTAAGTTTGACAGAAAAAAATACATACGCAAATATTCATTTTCATGATCATCATTAGTGTGAGTATTCTACCGGAAATGGGTGTTATGATAAAAACAAATATAATTAATAAATAATTATGACTTTATATAGTGAACATATAAAAAGACAGAAAAAAATAACGATGGCATGAGTCAAGTTCAATTGAAATTGAATGATCGCTGATCACGTTGTTATTTTTTTTTTTTTAGAATGTAACAATATTTAACATTTTTATCTACAAGTGGGAGGGTTTTTTTTTCTATTAGATCGTGCAACGAAGGTCAGTAAAGAGAGGTTAAATGTTTAAAGGTATTCCAAAGGTCGTTTCTATATCATAATTTAGTTTTGTCCATGATTCTTTATCTGATCTTTAAGATATCATCTAATCATCTTACTCAAATTTACTTTTAGTCGGGAAGTTTTTTCTTATAATAGTAGATCTCTCTTTATCCCAAATTTTGTTCCCATCGGGTACTCAATCTTTACCCGAAATTAAGCTTCGATCACTGATTATTTTGTATCTTAAATTTAGTTTTAATCATTCTTCAGTATCTGTTCCAAACTGAGCTTTGATCGAGATTCTTTTTCTAATTTAAAATCCTTTAATATTGTATCATTCTCTATCCTAAATAAAACTCCGATCGGGACCCTCTCTCTATACTCTGATCACGACTTTTTCTCTAATCTAAATTTAAAATCAGTCTATCTTAAATTAAGCTTAATTCAAATTATATAAATTAATCTTTCTATACCAAATTTATCCTCGATCGTCGATCTTTTTCTAATCCAAATTAAGGTTCAGTCATGGATCTTTTTCTGCCTCAATTTTAAATACGATCATTCGATCGATTTAATATCTCTTAATATTAGATCTTTCTCTAATCCAAATTAAACTCCAATCGCGTCACATTTTCTCTACTCTGATTGCTTCGCTTACTCTGTTCTGCTTTTCCGTTACAAAGCATAACAAATCCGTTCTTTTGCCATCACAATGGGTTAATAATTCATCGAATTCTTTGTTTTATTATTTAATTTTGACAGAATTTTTCGTTCATTCATTCCATTCAATGGATCACTCTTATATGGTCGTTATCATTTAATATGGCATAAACAAGAGTAATTAATTGGACATAAAGGCGTTGTGTTAACATGAATAATATCAGCAATTTGTCCAAGAAAATTGTAGTATGATCAAGTTTACGATCGAACAATGATCAATAATTGATTCATCCAGCATCAACATGAACATCGTTAGCCGGGTGTGTCGTTGTTGCGCACGAACATAAGAAATATGATTTTTATTGCCAACAAAGTTGTGATATTCGTCGCTTTATCAAAACTTATTGATCGCAATGAATTGTTTTTTGTTTCTTTCTCTCTCTCTGTGGCAGATCCTTCTTTAAGGTAACGGTGTTTGTTTGGGGCGCTCTGCTACTTGCTGCCAGAAAGTTAATGTGGTTGCAGCAAACAAGTTGTTTTTTATTTATTTTAATATTGCTGTTTAATTAAATTTTATGTGAATGATCGTTTGGTTTGTATCATCTTCCACTTATTTTTTGTAGTAATTTGTATTTTTAGTTGGTAGCTTTGAGGCACCGTTTTGTATGATCGTCTGTCTGTCTTCACTTTTGACTTGATTGATCTGGTCGTTATTGTTTACGTGTGTGTTTGTGTGTCGGTAGTCATCATTTGTTTGGCCCAATAAAATTGTAAATAATTGATTATCTTTAGCACGTACCAATTGTTATGATATCGATTTATTTTTTTTGGCAATTTTTCGTTTCCATATGGTAGCGTAGCTACTCCAAAATGTTGAGGTAAGTCGAAGAGTATATTAGGTTGTTTACAAAGTGTACAGTTGTGGTTCAATTTTAGCACTTTTTTAGCTTTATCAGTCGATACTTTTCACATTCTTTCTTCATCTAATCCCAGTACTAATAGAGTAATATAGTCTAGCCTAGTAGTCTATCTAGTCTATAGTCTAGTCCTATAGTCTAGTCTATAGTCTAGTCTATAGTCTAGTCTATAGTCTAGTCTATAGTCTAGTCTATAGTCTAGTCTATAGTCTAGTCTATAGTCTAGTCTATAGTCTAGTCTATAGTCTAGTCTATAGTCTAGTCTATAGTCTAGTCTATAGTCTAGTCTATAGTCTAGTCTAGTAGTCTAGTCTATAGTCTAGTCTATAGTCTAGTCTATAGTCTAGTTTATAGTCTAGTCTAGTCTATAGTCTAGTCTATAGTCTAGTCTATAGTCTAGTCTATAGTCTAGTCTATAGTCTAGTCTATAGTCTAGTCTATAGTCTAGTCTATAGTCTAGTCTATAGTCTAGTCTATAGTCTAGTCTATAGTCTAGTCTATAGTCTAGTCTATAGTCTAGTCTATAGTCTAGTCTATAGTCTAGTCTACAGTCTAGTCTATAGTCTAGTCTATAGTCCAGTCTATAGTCTAGTCTATAGTCTAGTCTATAGTCTAGTCTATAGTCTAGTCTATAGTCTAGTCTATAGTCTAGTCTATAGTCTAGTCTATAGTCTAGTCTATAGTCTAGTCTATAGTCTAGTCTATAGTCTAGTCTATAGTCTAGTCTATAGTCTAGTCTATAGTCTAGTCTATAGTCTAGTCTATAGTCTAGTCTATAGTCTAGTCTATAGTCTAGTCTATAGTCTAGTCTATAGTCTAGTCTATAGTCTAGTCTATAGTCTAGTCTATAGTCTAGTCTATAGTCTAGTCTATAGTCTAGTCTATAGTCTAGTCTATAGTCTAGTCTATAGTCTAGTCTATAGTCTAGTCTATAGTCTAGTCTATAGTCTAGTCTATAGTCTAGTCTATAGTCTAGTCTATAGTCTAGTCTATAGTCTAGTCTATAGTCTAGTCTATAGTCTAGTCTATAGTCTAGTCTATAGTCTAGTCTATAGTCTAGTCTATAGTCTAGTCTATAGTCTAGTCTATAGTCTAGTCTATAGTCTAGTCTATAGTCTAGTCTATAGTCTAGTCTATAGTGTAGTCTATAGTGTAGTCTATAGTCTAGTCTATAGTCTAGTCTATAGTCTAGTCTATAGTCTAGTCTATAGTCTAGTCTATAGTCTAGTCTATAGTCTAGTCTATAGTCTAGTCTATAGTCTAGTCTATAGTCTAGTCTATAGTCTAGTCTATAGTCTAGTCTATAGTCTAGTCTATAGTCTAGTCTATAGTCTAGTCTATAGTCTAGTCTATAGTCTAGTCCTCATAGTCTAGTCTATAGTCTAGTCTATAGTCCTAGTCTATAGTCTAGTCTATAGTCTAGTCTAGTCTAGTCTATAGTCTAGTATATAGTCTAGTCTATAGTCTAGTTCTAGTCTAGTCTATAGTCTAGTCTATAGTCCTAGTCTAGTCTAGTCTAGTCTATGTCTAGTCTATAGTCTAGTCTATAGTCTAGTCTATAGTCTAGTCTATAGTCTAGTCTATAGTCTAGTCTATAGTCTAGTCTATAGTCTAGTCTATAGTCTAGTCTATAGTCTAGTCTATAGTCTAGTCTATAGTCTAGTCTATAGTCTAGTCTATAGTCTAGTCTATAGTCTAGTCTATAGTTAGTCTATAGTCTAGTCTATAGTCTAGTCTATAGTCTAGTCTATAGTTCTAGTCTATAGTCTAGTCTATAGTCTAGTCTATAGTCTAGTCTATAGTCTAGTCTATGTCTAGTCTATAGTCTAGTCTATAGTCTAGTCTATAGTCTAGTCTATAGTCTAGTCTATAGTCTAGTCTATAGTCTAGTCTATAGTCTAGTCTATAGTCTAGTTAGTCTAGTCTATAGTCTAGTCTATAGTCTAGTCTAGTCTATAGTCTAGTAGTCTATAGTCTAGTCTAGTCTATAGTCTATAGTCTATAGTCTAGTAGTCTATAGTCTAGTCTATAGTCTAGTCTATAGTCTAGTCTATAGTCTAGTCTATAGTCTAGTCTATAGTCTAGTCTATAGTCTAGTCTGTAGTCTAGTCTATAGTCTAGTCTATGGTCTATAGTCTAGTCCATATTCTATTGTCTAGTCTATAATCTATTGTTTAGTCTTTAGGCCAGTCTATGGTCTACTCTATAGCATATGTATCTATTAATTGTCTAGTCTATAGTTTAGTCTTTAGTCAAGTCTATGGTCTACTCGATAGTCTATGTATCTATTAATTGTCTAATTTTGTCTTTAAACAAGGTATTTTTTCGACCCCATTTTTCCCTTCTTCTTGATCAGTCGCTTTCTATTAACATTTTCGAAATCTCCTACATTTAAAAGCCTTACCCCAATATAGGGTTGTTGGTATGTTTACCACAAAGTTACTTAAATTTTCATTCATCTCTTCAACAACTTGTTGTGCTGAAGTTTCTTTAGCATTATGTTGCAAATACGCCCTTTTCGAACTGCTGGTAACATCTTAATGATTGCACATTTCATTAAATTATTATGCCTATTACTTTATATATCAAAAGACATTAATCAAATTAAGGGATTTCGGCTGGTTTTGCTCCTTCCTTATAACCTCGTTTTTTTTTTCATTACAATTCACAATATGCCTCACAAATTGATCAATTAGTAGGCATATTAAGATATAAAAAATTATTAATTTTAATGTTTTCTTTTCATGCACTAAACAACAACAATAACATTAAAGTGGCCACACAACCTATATGTTTGCAAAAGACCCGTACAAATTTGGTAGTGGGTAAACGTGCCACCATAGCTGGCTGGGGTAAAATGTCCACTTCAAGTAGCCGTCAACCGGAAATGTCCTATTTGGATGTACCCCTTACCAGTTGGGATTTGTGCTTGCGTAATTATGCCTCTACCGGAGCCTTGGAATCGCCTAACTCTATAGAGGGCCAATGGATGTGTGCTGGTGGTGAGGGTAAAGATGTGTGCCAGGGTTTTGGTGGGGCTCCTTTGTTTATTCAGGAAAATGGTATATTTTCACAGGTGGGTTAAAGGATTTATTGTAAACTTTGTGGAAATTTGTATGACTTTTTATATATATCTTACAGATAGGCATCATGTCCTTTGGTTCGGACAATTGTGGTGGTTTGCGCATACCTAGTGTTTATACCTCGGTGGCTCATTTTGCCGAATGGATACATGATAATACTCCACCGGAATAATTACTTTATTTGCAGTTGGACTCATAAAGGACTTGAGTTACGATCGGTTTTAAGTATTTTTTATAAGATGTTTTAAATTAGTTAAAGGAATTCACAGTTTGCGCAGCTTTAATTAAAATTTTTCGAATATTAAAAATAAAGCTTCTTTCTTTACTCCAATGGACGCTTTAATCGTGGATCGCGATCTATTTCAATTTTAGCTTTAATACCAGATCGTCATTTTTCAGCGCCAAATATCTCTAAAATTGTGGATTATAACTTCAAAAAAAAACTGTGAATTCCTAAAAAAACATATTCCGTACAAATCGGTAGTTGATCAAAATGTTTAAATGTGATTAGTTTTCAGAATTATTTATTGAAATCCTAAGATTTTACACAGTATATTAGTTATATAGAAATAAAATTAAGATTTAAAATAAAAATAAAATATTAAAATTTAAAAAATAACAATGGTACACCAAAAAAAAATATTATTCGGTCCTGCAAAGTGTAATATTTCCAAAATTTTTTAATGTGAACGCATATTTTTCAAATCATAAAACAAATAAACAAATTAATTAATTAAAATTTTTTAATTTATTTTTACTATAGACAATAACAATATTTTTTTCGTTTTTTGTCATAATTTTCAATGACATATTTTGGAGTATTATTTGTTATGTTTTTTTTTTTTATAAAAACTACATATAACTTTTGTGTGAAATATGTGGGACTATTTGGTTTAAGTTTTTTGTCAACAAGAAATAATAATTTAATTGTTTTAATTGATCTCTTATAACCTTTTTCAAACACACGACGACGTAGTTTTTAATATAACAAAAAAAAAAAAAAAAAACGAAAATAAGATATATTATTGAAAATGATCAATTAACCGATTATGGGCGGTAAGTAAGCTTCTAAAGGGTTATTTAATTACAGTAAAATTACTTTTGGAAGTCAATTTTCCAATAGTAAAAGGTGAATTTTTGTAAAAAGACAGTTTTTACTATAGTAAAAAGTGTCTTTTTAAAGTGTCTTTTTAAGACAGTTTTTACTATAGTAAAAAGTGTCTTTTTAAGACAGTTTTTACTATAGTATAAAGTGTCCTTTTAAGACAGTTTTTACGATAGTAAAAAGTGTCTTTTTAAGACAGTTTTTACTATAGGAAAAAGTGTCTTTTTAAGACAGTTTTTACTATAGTAAAAAGTGTCTTTTTAAGACAGTTTTTACTATAGTAAAAAGTGTCTTTTTAAGACAGTTTTTACTATAGTAAAAAGTGTCTTTTTAAAGACAGTTTTTACTATAGTAAAAAGTGTCTTTTTAAAGACAGTTTTTACTATAGTAAAAAGTGTCTTTTTAAAGACAGTTTTTACTATAGTAAAAAGTGTCTTTTTAAAGACAGTTTTTACTATAGTAAAAAGTGTCTTTTTAAAGACAGTTTTTACTATAGTAAAAAGTGTCTTTTTAAAGACAGTTTTTACTATAGTAAAAAGTGTCTTTTTAAAGACAGTTTTTACTATAGTAAAAAGTGTCTTTTTAAAGACAGTTTTTACTATAGTAAAAAGTGTCTTTTTAAAGACAGTTTTTACTATAGTAAAAAGTGTCTTTTTAAAGACAGTTTTTACTATAGTAAAAAGTGTCTTTTTAAAGACAGTTTTTACTATAGTAAAAAGTGTCTTTTTAAAGACAGTTTTTACTATAGTAAAAAGTGTCTTTTTAAAGACAGTTTTTACTATAGTAAAAAGTGTCTTTTTAAAGACAGTTTTTACTATAGTAAAAGTGTCTTTTTAAAGACAGTTTTTACTATAGTAAAAAGTGTAAAAAGTGACAGTTTTTACTATAGTAAAAAGTGTCTTTTTAAGACAGTTTTTTTTAAGACAGTTTAAAAAGTGTCTTTTTAAGACAGTTTTTACTATAGTTGGAATTGGCTTTTTAAAGATATTTTACTGTAATTAAGTTTAATTATGTCAGTATTTAAAATAAGTTTAAAATTAAATTTAATTATAATTTTATGACATAAATGACATGTTTAAGATGTAAGTGTGTATGTGTTAAAAATATATTATTAATGTTTTTTTTTTTAATAACTGACTTAAAACTTATATACAACAGAACATTATACTGTATATCCCACAGTAAGACGCAGAGTCTCATAAAAAAGTTTATATCCTTTTTTTAAGACATTCAAACCAAAATTTAAGTACTTTTGCCAACAAAAGCCTATTATCATGTATTATTATGCCATTTCTGCTGCTTTTTGTGAGAAAACATCAAACTTAATACTAACCAGCTGATATAGGAAGACTTTACCAACTGATTTCAAAAGAAAAACACATCATATGATTGTAGAACTTGAAAGTTTTGTTTGGTTTGCTGGTAAGTATAAAAAGCAAATAAACAGCTGTTTTTCAAATTAAATTGGAATTATTTCTTTGAGTTTAGGAGTTAAACATGAACATTTTATGACCATTACCAAACTAACACATGTTACGATCGTACCATGACCATATGATGATAATGTCCAGCCAAGAGCTAAAAAAAGATCATAAAATTTGCTTTTCAGTTGGTAACTAAGAAATTACTTTAAATCATTAAAGTTTTTCTTTAGTTTTTAGGTAACAGGAGCACATAAACTATATATATTTACCAACTATATGCATAAAAAGATCTTATGTACTTATTATGTATTTACTGATCTTGTCCCTTTTTTATGGCTTTAAGTTTTTAAACCTTTTAGACTGTTTAAAAGTAAAACGGAAATGTAATTATTTTTTTTTTTAATAAATGTTTAACTTAATACGTTACTTGGGTATTGAAAAGAAATCACAACTGGTTTGAAGTTAAGCTAGCGAATACAGAACTAGTACAGTTAGTGATCCTTAGGGGACAGTTAAAGGTTGTATTTCTAACGTTTTACACTTGTTTAAATACGTTTAAAATAAATTCTTTCTAAATCCACAAACGCTTCTTATAGGTTTAAAAATCTATTTAAATTTTTCCAACAACAAATGGATCATAATACCATATACAAACAAAAAGTGCAATAAATGCTTCTAGATTTTCATAATTTAATTAAAATATTGTCTTTATATATATGAAATCAGTTAAATCACTTAAAGAAATATTGAAAACAAATAACTACATGTTCATTTACTGTTTACCCGTCAAAAAGATCATATAAATCAATTAACCAACCGATCGTTATTAATTTACAATTATTTTATTTACAACGAAAATAACAAATTCATTCATACAAATACATATGTATATTTTTCCACATCTTCCGCTTTTCTTTGAATATTGATCAAGAAATAATATTGTGTTATAGTATAAGTAGAAAAAATAAATTCAATTCACCACTCAAAACGTACAGTACGTACGATTTTATAGTGTATGTGAGTGTAAGTGATCTTTTGGATCTGTGTGCGCTGTATAACTTTGAGCATCTTTTTTAGCATTCAGAGTCATAGTGACACTTAGGCAGTTGGTTAGTCTTTCAATGAACACGGTCGATAAATGTTCATTTACAATTAAATACTTTATTTTAAAAGAATTTCGGTGAAATCGTAAGATTTTGAAAACTTTTATGGAATACAACTTAAAATGAAATTTAAAAAAAATATATATAATAAAAATTAATTAAAATTTATGTGTTTTAAATAGTTTTCTTTAAAAAGAAATTAAAAAAAATTCAATAAAAATTTTTTGTTATGAAATTGAAAATATATTTGAAAATATTCAAATATTTGATATAAAGTAAAAATGTTGTGGAAACTATAAAAAAATAAATATTTTAAACAGATTTTAAAATTATTTTAAAAATACAAATCGAAATAGTTGGATACATAATTGAAAAATCTATAATACCCCGGGTGTAATTCAGAAGCCGAATTAAGTAATTCAACTGTTCGTGTTAACTTGGCATAAATCGTCTTTCGAACAATTGAGTTTCGAGGTTGGAAAAAGTCGATATTTATAAATGATTTGAAAATCTATAAATATACTGTCGTACAATCGAGTTTTCTGACGAAAATCATCGAAAAGTTAACATTACCTTATAACCTCAATAAACCGATTATTTTCTAATAAAAGTTTCGAATAGAATCAGTTTTTTTTAAGTAGAAAAAGGTCGGAAAAAGTTGATTTGTAAACGATTTTCTAAAAACAATTCGAAATAGTTCCGGAAACCCCTTTATTAATAACTTATTGAAAAATCTATAAATCGACTTTTGAACAATCGAGATTCGAAGTCGTATATTAATAAATGATTGGAAAAGTTGAGATACCTAGGTCGGAAAAGTCGTAATAGTTTGGAAAAAGTTGATAATAGTAAATGCTTGAAATATCTAAAAATCTACTTTCGAATAATCGACTTTTTTTGTGGAAAAACATCGAAAAGTTGAAGTCCTAATAAAGTGAATAAATCGATTATATTTTAATAAAAATAAACGAAAAAACGATTTTGTAAAAAATGTCGAAATAGTTTGGAAAAAGTCGTTGTTAATAACTTAATGAAAATCCATAAATTGACTTTAGATTAATCTACTCTTTTCGAAAAAAAAAGTCGAAAAGTTGAAGTCCAGACAAAGTTGTAATAAAAAAATCGAATAATCGATTTGGTAGTCGAATAAGCCGAAAAAGGCCTATATTAATAAATTATTGAAAATCGATCTGAACAGTCAAAATCTACTATCTAGTAAGAAAAATTTCGATCTGAACAATCGACTTTTTTGCGTAAAAACCCCGAAAAGTTGTGATACCAACAAAGTTGATAAATCTACTATCTAGTAAGAAAAATTTCAAATAATCGATTTGTAAAAAAAGGCAATATAGGTCGCAGAAAGTCGATAAAAATAAATTATTGAAAATTCTAAAAATCTTATTTCAAAAAATCGATTTTTTTTTTTAAATTACCGAAAAGTTGAAAGTCGTTTAATCGTTTATCTTATAAGAAAAGTGTCGAATAACCGATTTTGTACAAAAAATCGAAACAGATCGGAAAAAGTTGATATTAATAAATGATTTTTTCAAAAAGTTGAAATTCCAGAATTCATTGCAGTTTAGAGTAATCTACTTTTTTCGAAAAGTTGAAAAATCAGAATGACCTATGATTTTTGTTCCAAATTGTCACTTTTGGAAGTGGTTATGTAGAGTCGAGACAGTTTTATAAAACAGTTATGGAACTAGTTTATTATTCAATGATTTTAGCTCGAGTTTCTCAACAGTTCTGAAATTAGTTCGAATGTAGTATCAATGTATAATTAGTTCCATAAAAGTGGCTCCATAAAAACTTCTTCTTGAAAGTTCTGTAGAATTACAACAAGGTTCCAAAGAACGGTTTTTAGAAATTCAGAATATATGCTCTTCAAGAAGTTGAAGTAGTTCTGTTTGCACTAGTTATATCCTTCATTCTCATAAGAAGGATATACATAGATATACATATATGTATGTAATATGTAATTTCTACAATATAATTTCCCGACCCTGCAACAGTGTAGTCGAAGTTATGTCCGTATATCTGTCTGTCAGTTTGTTAAAATCAATTTTCTGAAGACATTAAATATCTTCGTTATACAAATCTTCAATAATTTTATCGGACAATGCTTTCGAGTAAAATCTACAAACTTTAGGCCATAAATATTGGAGATATGTGAAAAAGTCTGTGATGTGCCACGCCCACAAACAAAATAAGTATTAAATGTTGGAATCCCTACTAGGGACACAAGCCGATGCAAAATGATCGGCGGCGGCGGCGCAACCAATTTAGGTCGGCGGCTTATATTAGAAAATATCGGCGGCGGCTAAATTGTCGGCTCAATTTAACTTTATCTTCAGAAATCGACCTTTAAGCGTTTATTATATTGAAAAATCTCTGTATAATAGTCTGTTATATAGAAACCTGTCTCTATATAAGTTTTTTCTGCAGAAAATGGACATTATTGTGTGGCAACTCTTTTGAATTTGCCATACGAATTTAAAATGGTGGCAACTCTGTTCAAATTGGTGAAATTATTTTCTGAAAGACATGTGCGATTCCAATCTTTATCAGCGGCTACGTTTAAGCCGGCTTAGCCTTTGAGCCTAAAGAAGTCGGCGGCGGCGCGGCTTGCTAAATATTACCGGCGGCCAGCCGCCGCCGATTTGAGCCGTTTCGGCTTGTATCTCTGATCCCTAGCTGCTAGAGTACACAGAGGAACCAAATTGACACCAAATTTTTCAATAACATCCGTTGCAAGTATATACATGCATACAACAAAAACATTGCAACAATTCGTTGTCGCAATCTAAACTTTATGCAAATCCGTTGTCTAAATGTTAACAAACGTGGTAAGCTCACTATTTACAAAGCATTTTGAGCTGTGTATACAGTGTCTCACATAAGTATTCGAATTTAGGTGTACTTTTAAAAGAAACATAATTTAATAATATTTATTGTGTGTAAAATTAATAATTAAATTTGACATATTGTCTAGAGAGTCCTAAGGTTTAATATCACACTCCTTAAAATTTAGATAATTTACATTTACTTAAATAAATTTAACTTTTTTTAAAAAAAGTCAAAAAAATTACTTCACAAAAGTATTCGAGTTTTAACTGTATTTCATATTTGACCATATTTTACGAAACACAAAAATTAGAATCGAATGGTCTTTTTGCATAAAATTATTTCAAGGGGTTACTATCAACCGAAAAGATATATTTTTGGCCCATTTGGCCCACAATTTTGGGGCATTTGTACCATCTTTTCATATTATATCATTAAAATGACGATTTTTGACCATATTTGCCATTTTTTTCTCTTTTTCAAGAGATAAAACCAAAATTTAATATTGGGATTTAATAGATTCCTTGAGGTATCTAAAAATAATAACTTTTGTTATAAGGACCTGTACTTAAACATTCCAAGATATATTTTTGGTATCGTTATAAAAAGAATGATTCCACTATATTGAATGGCGTTTCTTCGAGGCATGCTTTGGAGTTGTACACTTCCACAATATATTGAAAACTTAAAATGTATAACAGCTGATATCTAAAACAATATATAGAAGACAAGTTTCCCCGAAAATTTTTGACCCTGGTATTATAAAAATGGACTTGAGTTCCAATAAATTGAATTAGCGATAGAAGAATGATTCCAATAATATATATTGGAACGTTTAAATACAGATTTTTGTAACAAAAAATATTATTTTTAGATACTCCAAGGGGTATATTAAATCCCAATAACAAATTTTGGTTTTATCTCTGGGAAAAAGGAGAAAAAAAATACAAATATTGCTAAAAATCGCCATTTTAATGATATTACATGAAAAGATGGTACAAATGCCCCAAAATTGTGGACCAAATGGGCCAAAAATATATCCATTCGGTTGATAGTTACCCCTTAAAACAATTTTTAGCAAAAAAAATATGAAATACAGGAAAATTCGTATACTTTTGTGAGGTAATTTTATGGACTTTTTTTAAATAAAGCTAAATTAATTTAAGTAAATGTGATTTTTTAAAGTTTTAAAAAGCGTGATATCAAAGCTAAGGACTGTCTAGACAATTTAACAAATTAAGTTATTAATTCTGCACACAAAATATATTATTAAATTTGGTTTCTTTTCATATTATACCTAAATTCGAATACTTATGAGAGACACTGTATATTTTTTTCCTCTGTGTACCTATTCAAATTTTGCACAGAAAACTTTCAAATCTACATATATGAACATTTTACAAAAAATAGGGACAACTAGCAATAGTGGGTGTGGCATCACTTTTTAAATATTAAGTGTTACCCATATGAACTAAATACTAAAGTTCGAATGTGTGGCAAACTATTACAGCTACAGGAAATTAAAGCATCTAAAATACATATGAAATGATCTCTTAAAGATCATTTACATGTTTTTAAACCATAACATGCTACCTGTAATATTTTCAAAATTGAAACCCATCTAGTAATGTAATCCTTTTAACAGAAACTATAAATTGGTATTAAAACCAACAAAAACAAAACGTCAATATTATTGCATGATCAAGATCACTCCTTTCATATGGCATGCTGTAGCGTAATTATTTCATTCTTAAAAACCTTTTTTTTTTGTTTTTATAAATAGTGAAAATTCAATTACAAAAAATTTATGAAGACAACTTTAAAAATTTAACAAGTTCAAATGCCATTAAAGAAAAAACAAACAAAAAGAGTACATGACAAAAACTCATAAATATTGACCAAAATAGTTAAGATAAGATCAGTTTGTTCAACAAAATCCAACTAAAAATAGTTGAAAAAAAAAAAAAAAAACTAAATACTACAACCAAATTTATAAATAAAGCGTGAAACAAGAAGCAATTTGCAACAAAGTTGCAAAAAGGGAAATAAAACCCCAACGTATAAGTAACGTGACAATTTACTACAGACATTTACACAGCGCTCGATCAGTTACGATCTCCCACAAGCGAGATCATTGCTTTTGGTATTAAGCAAACAAAACAGTGATTGTTTTGTGTAAGTATTAAATGTCCAGAGGAATTAAAGGTTTAACTTGAGGATCTACGAATAAAATAAATACAATTGTTGTTGTTGTTGTTGGAGACAAAAAAAGTTCACTACAATACTCTGTTTCTTGCATATATTGAATAACAAGTGTCAATAAATTGATAGCTCACGTGCCACACAACGCAACACGACACCACTTCATACAACACTCGCACAAGATCAGCTTCAAAAGAAACGATCAGCTTTAAAGGAAAACAAACAAAAAACTTGTTGCTCCAGTTGTGCAGCAAAGAAGAAGCCAAAAAAAAAAAATATCCCAGTAAATACCACAATGCGGCATACAACAGCTGTTGCCCTCACAGAGAGGTTTAGTGATCGTAACAATTCTCCTGAGACCGGCGTTTTTGTAACACATTTTGCTAACACAATAACAACAACAACTATAAAAACATGTGCTAAATCTAGCTACCTCAAACATACAACATTACTACTCCTGCTCTCTTTACTACTCCACACGCAACAATGTTTAGCTACATATGACTCTACGCCGCTGGCAACATCTACAACAAATACCAATTTTGATTTTTATAAATCACCATCATCCACTTCACCTTATGAATGTGGCAGTTTGGATTTGCGCAATGATTGTGATAATTTTTATAAATTAACAAATTGTACCGTTATAACGGGTTTTCTCGATATGGCCCAATTGCCGCGCAACAATGCCCAGTGTAATTTTAGTGAATATCGTTTTGAGAATTTAAGGGAAATCACCGATTTTCTCATTTTCAGTGAAGTGCGTAATTTAAGCAGTATTAAAAATATGTTTCCTAATCTATCTGTGATACGGGGCCAGCAT